CAGGCCTCTACAAAGCTACACCCATTCTTAGCTGGGTTTATGCAAGCTCCTCAAGGACAATACCTTTTAAAGAAGTAAATAGAAAATTTAGAACTTCCAGAGTTCATGTGCCTCAGATGACCCTGATAAGTACATTGATGTCTTTTAGAGGATTTATTCAGACTTATGAACTAGATTGGAGAGATATAATGTTAATCTTAAACCAAGCTTTGACTTCTATGAAAAGCAGGCAGCCTTACAAGCTGCTATTACATTTGGAGAGGAATATTATACTGTTATAAGGACTCAAAAGATGGACAACCAGTGGAATTACCCATTCCCACTGGAGCCCAACCAGCCAGAGCCCTGCTGCTAATAGCCAGGCAGAAGAGTGGAAAAGACATTTTCTTTCAAGTGTGTATTTTTCAAGGTCTAAGAACTAGAATCAAGCCTTTAGTTATTAAATGTTAGCTATTTATCAGGAAAAAGATGAACACCCCTCTGATTTCTTAAAATGTTTAATAGAGGGACTGGTAAAGCATACTTTGTGAGATGTTAATTCAATAGAGAGACAGATTACTCTTATAGATGAGTTGAAGAGCTGCAAAAGATAGCTTTTGCTCCAGACAGCTCATTTGATACTTTGGTAAAAACTGTTTAAGTGTCCTATAATTGGAACTGGGAGAAAACCAAGGAGAGAGAGCAAATAGATAAAAAAAATGGCTGCCAGTATTGTAGCCTCCAAACAGACCCTATGTTTGATTCTCTTGGCTCCAAGAAGAGCTCAACAATGATGACATTCATCTGCTACTGCTGTCAGAAGCCAGGCCAGCATAAAAGAGACTGCCTTAAGAGGCCCACAAGCCATGCCCTGACTGCCAAGGCAGCCACTAGAAGTGAGACTGCACTCTGAGGCGGAGGCCCCAGAGCTCAGACTCAGCTTCCCAGATGGTCCAGTAGGACTGAAGGGCCCTGGGCCTGCCTCTTCCCTCTGGCCAGACTGTTATCTCTATCTGCCATCTCCATGGAGGAGCCCTGAGTAATCATGACTATAGAGGGAAAAGAAACCCAGCCTGTTGCTGGGCACTGGCACAGGTCTCTTTGTCCTTCTCCAGCCCTGACTTTTCTTCCAGTCATTGTACCTCAATAGAAACTGACTTTAGAAGATATATTGCTTTAGCTGTAAACTGAGGTAATGCAATATATTCAGGTTGTTTACTAAACGATGGTGCTGAGACTGATGTTTTACAAATGTAATATATTGTTATTCATGTGTAAGACTTAAAGAATTTCACTAGTTAAAACAGGTTCCCAAGGACAGATAACAACCTGTCAGCGTAAAAATGTTCTAAAGAAACTGGCTTACGCAGTGTCCAATAGCTTTGGGCCTATAGACAGAGCCAGGCATTGTATTTGTGATCTAAAACTCAGAACCATAACATTGAAAGGAAAAATCCCTTGGCAGTGCCCCTTGCTTACCATGGGAGCCATATCCAAAACACTGAATGGAACATTAGTTTAATATGACTAAGTGCTTTGTATTTCATGATGAGTATGTAAGCCTGGTTGATTTTTAATATAGCTCCAGTATTTCGTGCTGATAGTTAATACATATGTGACCTCTCTTAAGTAAAGCTAGAGAGACTTATAGCAAACTGTCAGACTCCATGAATAAAGGAGCCTAAGAGCTAGTGAGTTATGATTGCTAGGTCTCAAAAAGGTTTATAAATGTACCTGTTAGCTCGAATGTTCATGCTTTGATTATATATGTTCTAATCTCTCAGATAATTTGTTATTTCTAGAAGATACCAAAACCCAGATAATCATGCAGGTAAAATCTAAAACCAAAAGGTTATATGTTGCTCAGTGGGACCCAGATATCTGACACAAGCTGTAGAAGTAAGAAGGGTTTGCAGGAATGAATTGGTCTCAGTTGAGGTGTTTCTAGAAAGAATACAGAATGGAATTATAGATGGAAAATAAGAATTGGGATACTAGCAGCCTACAGGAAAGCCAGATAGAGAAGAGACATTTCAAGCAGAAATGTCCACAGCTGCTAGAGAAGGAAAAAGAAAGTGTTTATGATGGAGCCAGAGGAAGTCTCAGATTGAGGTGGTCACGTGTCTTCCCTCTCAGTCTGAGGGAACCCATGTTAACTGCCAGTATAAGAACAAATCCTGTTAAACTTTCAATAGATTGCTTATACAGATTTGTCAGTAGTTACCCAGCCAGTGACCCACTTGCAAATGGGAAAATACTGTTTTCCCTATGCCCGGTAATTCATGTTCCCCAGTAATAATAGGAAAGTCCAGTTTGTTTGAGACAGTACCCAATGGCCATGGAAAATAAAAGGACTAAACCCCACATTTAAGAGATCAATGCTAATGGACCAATAAAATGTTCTGACTAGTGTTTTTATTTGGCCAATGTAATAGTTTCTTTGCCTTTGTCTTCAGATTCAAAGCTGTAATGAAAATGCCTGGTGTCTATTAAGGGCCTTTAGATAGAACCTCTGAAGAATATATCTGACTGCCGATCAACAACTACAACCCGTTTCAGCTTGAAGAAGCCAGAGCGGTCATCGCCCATAGTTCCCTCATGGCAGTTCGGGTTACTTCTTCAGAGGGGGGAATGTTGCAGGCAGTGGAGTTAGATAGAAATATTATAGGCAGTTAGATAGGATCAGGCCCTCAAGAGGACAAGATGGAAGACAAGGTGACTTTGCAACTTGGAAGAGACAGACACTCCCATATGGGCCACACCTCAAGACCAAGACAAAAAGAGGAAGCACAGCTACATACTTCCCTAGGGATGGGCATTAGGGATCGATATCCTAAATAGTATCAATCAACTTGAAAGAGCTCAATGAGTCACTAGCCCAACCCCCAACAGGAAGAGACCCTGTTCCGTATTTGTGCCCTCTTGCTACATGACTCACTTTCCCATTTGTTACTGGATTTCATCAATTTTACCTGAGCAATGGTGCTTGTAATCTCATTGGTTGACCATAGTTTTGTCCCACCTCATGCCCAACTAAGCAAGTTCCCATGTCTTGTCCACCACCGTAGACCCACCTCACCACATGGTTTTCCTCTATAAAAGTCCCTGCAAGAGACAACTTCCGGGGGGGGGGGGACTACCCACTCCCCCTCCCCAGTCCATCTCTTGGGACAGGAGCTTTCTTTCTCTCAATAAATATATTCTGCTCATAAAAAAATCTGGCCTCTTTCAGCCTCTTAAACATCATCTCCACCATCTTGTGTACATATGTGTGCACCCTAGTACCATATGCACACACACCCTCCCTATGCAGAAGGTGATTTTTTTTTTGGTGGCCATCTCAGCCCACCCTAGGGGTGGGACTGGCACATCATGAGGTGCCAAGGATCGAACCATGGTCCCTGCATGCTTGCCTAAGCTTGCCTAAGCAGGCTCTTTAGACCACTGAGCTATCTCACTAACCCAATTGAGGGTAAAATTCTTTAAGGTTGGTAGGAGTTGGAGTACAGTGATTGCCAGCTCTAGAAATATTTCTGAGCCAGTTATTGACCCACTTCACAAAGTGTCCAGGCCCAGAGCACACTCTGACAGGCTATAGAGGCCAATTTCCCTGCTGCAGAGCCAGGACTCCCACTGTCTGTCCCAGGCATCTTCTACTATCAGGCCTTGTGATTGGGTAATGTGTCTCAGACAAGAAAAGTGACTAAGACACTGGGTCACTTGAGCTAGTGTTTAGAAGTAATGAGGGACACAGTTTCAGGATATTGGGATGATGTGAGACAACATCTGAGAGAATAGAAATGAGTAAGAGGCAGCAAGGGAGTAAATAGAGGGGAAAATGAGGTCCGGAGTCAGTGACCAGAGCTTAAGGATGTGCTTATGAGAATGAATGGCCCGTTTGATGCAGTTTAGGAAGTAGAGGTGAAAAGAGAGAATGTGTCAGAGTTAATGGAGGTGAAGGAGTATGATGGGAGAGAATTTGATTAAAGGTAAGGAGAGGTTTAGGGAATCATGGAGAAGGTCTAGTGTGCATGAATAAAATTGGATGAGAGGCAGTGTAAGTGAACTGATGAATAAAAGGCAGGGTGAGAATAAAGGTGAAAAAGCAGTTGAGTGTGAGTACCATACACATAGTATGTCTTTTGTAATATATAATGTGGGTTAGGTTCAATTAGCATGTTACAGCACAGTTAAGTGTGGCGAGGTGAAGGAGGTACCAAGATGAGTGTTACTGTTTTAATATGTCCCTTCTGAACTTTCAGCTGTTAGAAACTTAATCCCCAAAGCAACAGTGCTCAGAGGTGGGGCATATACTGAAGTGTACAGCCCATGAGGGCTCCAATCTCATGAATGAATCAACACTTCTTTCAAAAGGGCATGCAGGAATAGGTTCACTTTCTTATCCTTCTAATTTTGACCACATTATCATCACCTTGAAATGGAGACTTCCTAGTCTCCAGAATTGTGAGGACACTAAATGTCTGTTCTTTATAAACATCCCTGTCTCAGATACTCTTACAGCAGCATAAATAGACTTAGACAAGACATCAGTGGACATAGTAGGGGCAGAAGGCAAGGACAATCTAATTCTACAGAGCATGAGGAATCAGAGGTGATAATAGGTCACTCTGAGGAGCAGCACTGCCCACCCAGCAGAAGTGGTGATGGTCAGTGAGTGGAAATGGAGGTAACCAAGTGGCAGAGCAGTCACAGGCCCAGTGTGAGGCACAGTACTTGGGTAATGCCTGTCCTTTGTGTGCCTCCAGTCCCTCCCCCAGCAGCTCTATCTGACATCTTTGTGTTTCTCCCTTTTGTCTTTCCATCTCTGGTATATGTCAGTATCTTTCTTTGTCCTTGTCTATGTCTTTTGGTTTCTAACACAGCTGCCAGTTGGGAAAATGGTGGGGCAGCCTGACCTTTGACCTGTATGTTCTAGAATCTATTACTCAGACCACTGCTCATAGAGCCCAGAGTTCCAGAATGCTCCTAATTCTGAACGCCACAGGGTGAGTCAGGAGCAAGGAGTTAGCTCGGAGGGCTTGTAGCTATCATGATGCGGTTCTCAGGCATAGTGATAGTGATCCTGGCCATAATGATGACTGCCAACGTGGATGCCAAGATTTATGAACGCTGCGAGCTAGCAAGGAAGCTACAGAAGGCAGGCCTCAACAGCTACAAAGGCTATGGCATCGGAGACTGTGAGATTCCAGTTGACCCAAGTCCCACCCTTACCCAAACCCACATACCACACTCAGACTTTCTCATTTTTCATCTCTCTGGACCAGGCTTGACTTTCTAAGTAACTTGGTGACTGTGATAAGTGCTTTAATTCAACTCTAATGTCATCAATTATCATTGCCCTCACAACCATCACCTCAACCTCTCCCATCAACACCATCACTACCACTATCACTAAAGCTCACCAGAATCCCCAACAGCAACACTCACAACCAAACCAAGATCACCACCCTCACTGCTAAAATGACAATCATCCCTGTTTTCAGCTGCCTTACCCTAACTTCTCTGTTCCTATGCCTCATGCTTACCTCCTATCTCTCCTCTTCTTTCCTCAGGGTTGTGCATGGCACACTATGAGAGTGGCTTTGACACCTCCTTCATGGACCACAATCCTGATGGCAGCAGTGAATATGGCATTTTCCAACTGAACTCCGCCTGGTGGTGTGACAATGGCATCACACCCACCAAGAACCTTTGCCACATGGACTGCCATGGTAAGTCAGCATGGAGAACACATGGAAGCCCTGGTTGACCCCACACAATACACACATAAGACAAGGTTGTCGAAACTATAATCTCCTCCAAAAGGAGGATTGTGTTTTCCTTCTAAAAGAAGAAAAATGATGGGAAAAGGGGAAACATTGCCTGGGAGGATGGAGACACTATCCTGAATCCTTAATCAGACTACTCTAAGTCAGGAAATGCAGGGCTCCCAAATCTCACCCATTATTGAGGATGAAGTTTTCTGACATTCAGAAAACAGGTAACTTAATTCTATGTGAAAGACAGAGACTAGACCTTGAGGGAAGTAGCAGATGTCTGGAAGTAGCAACAGAAACAAACTACCTCTGTGAAGAAACGAGAGAACTTTCCAGACAAGAGTATGGTGGTGTTAGGGACAAAACAAGATAGCAGTGGAAGTTGCTTGGGGTTGGCCAAAATGGTGCTGATGTTGTCCAAGACAGGCCAAAATTGAGACGTTATTTGAGGATAGTCCAGATGGAGGTTAAGGTTGTCCAAGTCCTGTCAACAGAATAGGTCACCAGGATTGGCCAGATTTAAAGCTAAGGTTGTCAACTACTGCAAACCATAGAAAGTGATGTCTAAAGCATGGTAAATGGGTACTGAGTTTTTTTCAAGTCTAGCTAAAATTAGTTAAGATTGTTCAGTTTGAAACAGCGTGAAACAATGGAATTTTATTCAGCTATTAAGAATGATAAACTGCAAGCCTTTATATTGAAGTGGATGCCACTTGAACATATACTCATAAGTGAAATAAATCTTGGAAACAACCAAGATGCCCATCATCTGAGGAATGGTTGAGAAAGATGTGGTATTTTTACACAATGGAATATTATTCAGCTATTAAAAATGAAAAACTGCATGCCTTTATATTGAAGTGGATGCCACTTGAACATATACTCATAAGTGAAATAAACCAGACACACATGTGTAAATATCGTATAGTCTCCCTAGTATAAGAAC